CTCAGTAAAGTATGCTTGGTATATGGTACAGCATGATGTGTGAGACATCATCAAAATGTGGTATTGTTTTTGTCCTCCATTCAGATGTTTCTCCAACCACCAGTTGAAAACTCAGCAGAATGCATGGCTCACTCTTGAGTTACAGAGAGGTCCATGGTAACTTTAAGTCACAAAACAGTCTTGGTTCAAAATCAGTGCCTGGTTCTAAGAGATTAGTTAGCACTTCCCTCTTCATGCAGAAGATGGCTTCTTCTTTCATTCCCTAGATGCTTAAACCTTTGGGGCACAGAGGTGGGAGGAGGAAAAGAAAAGGAGGGCTAAAGAAAAGGAAAGCAAAGTTGTCAGTTGATGGGTGACTGACACTGTCCTAAGTAAGCTAGGCAGGAGGTTCATGCTGACCCTTGCCCTCCAAGTAGTGCTGTTGCCTTGATTGCTAGCTGGGTTTTCCAGGAAAGATGCTCCTGATGTGTGTCATGCTCATTTACCTGTGACTAGCCATTTCTTTTCTATCCATCAGGTTCCCATTTATTGTTGTTCCATCCCACTGTCTTTGGGGTCCCCTTACTTCTGGCAGGAACCCTGTTAGGCAGAAAAATCTTGGGCAGAATATCTTTGACAATGGCCCTTTACCATTAGCCAGTGATTTCTTAAATAGGACAAAAAAAGATTGATGAATTATATTTCATTAGGAGCTATGAGCTTCCATTTAGGTGTAGAAAGTTAGACAGAATATTGTTCTCACTTTAACCACAAGGAAAAGCTGAATCACCTACATCAGGACTTTTCTTGAACTCCTCAGAGAGCAGAGGCCACAAGGCAATAAATTAGTCTGAAATTTAAGGAAAGACAGATGCCTCCAAGGAGAGCCAGGATGTGACAACTGGCTTACTTGCCACAGAGCATCTGGGGAGATGAGGCCACTATGGAAGTCAGAAGACTGCAGCTAAAATGTTGTGATAAATTGACAAATGTTAATGATTTACAAGTTTTAATGACTTCGCAGAGCATGAGAATATAGAACCTGTGGAAGCTACAAACACAAGAGGAATTTGCACCCACTCTCAGGCTTTTCTCCATAGATCTCAGAGTGCTCACAAAAAAAAATCAGAGTCAGGGTAGGAGAGCAGAGAAAGCATCCTATGGCAGTGCAGATCTGCCAAAGAGGATCCAAAGTCCTATAGAATGAACACCTATCACTGCTGAAGGAAAAGCCACAAACCCACTAGGGTACAAGTGTGGACCCATCACAACTGGGAGAAGGAAATGAAGAAACGCTCTTCTCCTGGGGGAGGTGCAGGAAACTGTCTCCCTCACAAGAACATCAAAATCATGAGGCAGAATTTGTCTGCTGTGGGAAAAAGAGCAGGATTGCTGAGTAGGCCCTTAGCCCCAAGACCCAGGGACACAGGCCCTGCCTGAGAATGAGGCTGAACCAGTATTGCAGAATGCCCCTTCCCCTACCAGGCTAGCAAGTGTTTAGTGACAATCTAGTGCAGGGGAAGGAACAAGAGTGTGGCAGGGCCAGGCCCAGTGGCTCACCTGCAATCTCCGGCTTTGGGATTGCTTGAGGCCAGAAACTCAAGACCAACCTGGGCAACATAGCAAGACCTCATCTCCACAAAATATTGAAAAACTGAAAAATTAGCCAGGCATGGTAGTGCATGCCTGTGGTCTCAGCTATTTGGAAGATGGAGGCAGGAAGACCACTTGAGCCTGGGACATCTAGGCTGCAGTGAGCTATGATTGCATCGCCACATTCCAGCCTGGGCAATAGAGTGAAACCCTGTCTCTTAAAAATAAGGGAAAAAAAAAAAAGGAGGGACACCCTCTGAGGCACAGGCTCACCAGGAAGCCTAAAGTCTACTCCCACTATAAGCAAGGTAACATTAATTGCCAATAACTTGAAACAACTGATGAACGGAAAAACTGTAACACAGCCATGTCATGGAATACTACTCAGCAATAAAAAAGAACAAACCATTGATACAAACAACATGGGTGGATCTAAAATGCATTATGATAAGTGAACAAAGCCAGACTCAAGGCTACATACTGTTGAGTTACACTTACATGACCTTCTAGAATAGGCAAAACTCTAAGGATAGAGAACAGATCAGTGGTTGCCAAAGGCTGGAGGTAGATGAGGCGTTGACTACAAAGGGGTGTGAAGAATTTTTGAGTGGTGGTGGAACTGTTCTATATCTTGATTATGGTGGTAGTGATACATCATGCATTTTCAAAATTCATAAACTATGCATTAAAAATAGTGATTTTGGCTGGGCGCAGTAGCTCACGCCTGTAATCCCAGCACTTTGGGAGGCCAAGGCGGGCAGATCTTAAAGTCAGGAGATCAAGACCATCCTGGCTAACACAGCGAAATCCCGTCTCTACTAAAAAAAAAATACCAAAAAATCAGCCAGGTGTGGTGGCAGGTGCCTGTAGTCCCAGCTACTTGGGAGGCTGAGGCAGGAGAATGGCGTGAACCCAGGAGGCGCAGCTTGCCATGGGCCAAGATCACACTACTGCACTCCAGCCTGGGCGACAGAGCAAGACTCCATCTCAAAAAATAAAAAATAAAAAAATTAGTGATTTTACTGTATATAATATATCTCAAATACATTTAAAAATTTAAAAAAGTACTTCATTAAAATTAAGAAGTTTTATTCATTTAAAGATGCCGTTAAGAGAGTGAGGACACAAGTCATTGACTGGGAGAAAATAAAAAGAAATAGCTCTTGCATACAGAATATATAAAGAACATATAAATAAGTAAGAAAAAGAAAAAGCACACCACCCAAAAGAAAAATAGACAAAAGACTTGAGTGGGCTTCTCACAAAAGAGGATATCCAAATGGCTAATAACCATATGAAAAGATACTTAGACAGCTTTATTCTAAGTGCAAATAAAAACCATAATGAGGTACTACTACTCAGTCACCACATTACAGGAAATTAAAGATTAGCAATACCAATGTTGGGGAAGATGTGAAGCAATTGAATTCGGTTGCGAATTTGTATAACCACTTTGGAAAACTATTTGGCAGTATTTACTAAAGCTAAACACATCTGAGCCTTATGATGTAGTGATTGTGCTCCTAAGTATACTATCTATCCAATAGAAATGAATGTATATGTCCACCAAAAGACATGTTCAAGAATGTTGATAGTGCCACTATCATAATAGCAAAAACCTGAAAACGGCTCAAATTCCTGTTAATAGGAAAATATATACGTATACTATGAAATACTACACAGCAATAAAGAAGAACAATGTAACATGCCACAAAGATGAAACAGATATGATGAATGCAAGAAGTACAAAGGACTATATACTATATATATTATATATATATAGTAGTATCTCATTTGATTTATATGAAGTTCAGGAATAGACAAAACTAATCAATGGTCATGAAGTCAGAATAGTGATTACAGGTGGGGACTGTATTTACTGAGAAGAGGCATTAAGGAGTCTTCTGAGCTGCAGGAAACATTCCAGGTTTTGATCTCAGTGGTTTTTCATGGGGGTGTGTGTGTGTCGTAAAGCATCATCCAAGAGTCTTTGGATCAGCATTAGACAGTTACTTTATCATTACACTTGCATTTTTGTCTAGCACCTCAGTCTCATGTGCATGTCTATGGTTGGTATTGGATATCTCAATCAAAATTTCAATATTAACATCCTGTTAGAGTAACTTTTTGGTTGAACCATATGAAATTATTGATTGTTGTCTGTTTTTGACCTAAAGTGCACTTGTGCACTTTACTACTTGTATACTGACCTCAGTGCAATACAATATAAAGAAAATATCAATTTCAGCATAGCTCAACAGTTAGTGATAATGTGTGCAAAATGACTATAAACAAACTAGGAATACAATAACTTGTCATGGCCCCTGGCCCCTGTGTATTTCTTATCAGCCTGAAGATGGAGAAGAAACATGTATTAGCCCTGCAGCCCATGACAGATCAGCCTTGATGCAGCTCCTATTCCTTTTAGGTCTCAAGCTTATGCAATGTCAAAAGAAATATCTTTTTGTTTTAAAAATATGTAGATGAAACATTTTTCCTCTAATGTTTTAAAACAAAGACATTTGTTTTATATGCTCTTAATTGGTGTTGCTTAATGTCTGCCAGTTGTTTTCTATCAGGAGAATAAAATTTTTTGTTGCACCATCGTCTTTCTACCATATCATTTATCAGCTCAAGATTTGTGCACTTCAAGTATGTTATACCTCAATACAATTTGTTTTTAATGGCCCTGGCCAACACTCCTGGGGAGGTCATATCCACATCAGGCCTCCAGGACTCATGCACTGTGACCCTCCTGTGGAATGCAGTTGTTCCCAGCACAACAGCCACTCTTACTTACAGTTCTGCCACTGAAGCAGCGCCTCTACTTCCCTCTGAGCATTCCAGTCCTCAATCCTTCTAACAGCGAGGGTTACCTATCAACTCCCCAAGCCACCCTCAATCCAGCCCCGCTAGACATTTCTGGGTCTGAGGAGGAGAAAAACCCCATCCATTCCCCAGCACTTCGCTGAGGACTCACACATAGCCCAGCAAGCTTGCCCCAATGTATTTCATCATGAAGCCTCTCTTCTCCTCCTCACTTGGACTTTTTGCTATCTTTGATGTGAATGAGAAGTCCAAGAGTCTTTGGATCAGCATTAGACAGTTACTTTATCATTACACTTGCATTTTTGTCTAGTACCTCAGTCTGACGTGCACGTCTATGGTTGGTATTGGATAGCTCAATCAAAACTTCAATATTAACATCCTGTTAGAGTAACTTTTTGGTTGAACCATATGAAATTATTGATTATTGACTGTTTTTGACTTAAAAAATGCAATTTTATACAGTTCAAATTAACAGTTTTATTCAAGATAGGCTTTTTTTAAAAAAAGAGAAACTGAACTTTAGGGTGAGTTTGAACAAAAGGGAAAAATTGATTCTTAAATATCCAGACAAATACTGAAACACCTGTGCAGCATCTTACCTTGGCTTTCAGATCAGCACACAATTCCTGTTGCTTTTTCTTGTCCTTAGCCAATGTGCTCTCCATTTCATGAGCTGCACAAGCCTCAATGAGTGTCAGCACAGCCTTCTGTGTAAAGTCTTTCTTATTTTTATTCCAATTTGATATCAAGATCTTTCGCTGCTCCATAGCAAAGCGATATTGGTCACAATATTTCTCATGTTCAATCTGAAAAGATAACAGAGGGTGAATACTTATCATGAAAATGAGCTTATATTTTGTGTCATTGTTACAAAAATGAAAAAAAAAACCATTATAACCAATGATTTTGAAAAATTGGGGACAAATATTTAATCATAAATACAGCAACCAGAAACCAGGTACTACCTCCAAAGTTCTGAACTCGTGACTAATTGGTGACTGAGGACAAGTCATTTAATGTTTGTAAGTCCTTAGTTTCCTCATATAGGATGCGGTTACACCAGGTAACCTCTAAAACCACTTTCGTTTCTAAATGGTAATGATTCTATGAGAGCAGAAAGCAATATTTTCCCTATATTTAATTTTTAAAATATCACATCTTTATATCAGTTTTGGTATTTTAACAATTACATCAAGTGTTTCAGTTAGACAAAATGCTAATAAACATAAAAATTGCTACCACAATCTTGAAAACTCACAATTTTACCCTTAATTACTGAAACATTCAGATGTTAGGATGCCTAAACTTAAAGTAGTAATAGCAATGACACTGAGCCCTTCCCATGCTATGCTCATGAAGGACATGGCATTTTCACATCGGCAGCAGTAGCTCCTTTTGGCAGTGAATCTCAACCATGGGAATTAGCAGAGTCTTGAGGGAAGAACAGGAATGGAGAGAACTTGAGTAGCCTGGAAAACCTCTGTGGGTCGTTCTGAAATGCTCCTCAGAAAAAGGTGTGCCTTCCAAAGTTGAGAGTCACTGATCTAAATAATTCTTTATGTTGCCAGTATAGACCATGACTCTGAATTTAATACATTATTTAACCTCCAGGAGTTGTGGGAAAAGCAGCTAGCAAACAGGACATTTTATGTCCCACCTAAAATAATACTTTAGGTATAATTAGGTACGCAATAAAACCACTTACTTGGTCTCACTTAAACTAAGTATCAGCTACTGAGATCTGTTCTGTAAACTTCTCAGCTTTGTTTTATAAAGCCAAAAATATACTTAACATCTGTAAAACATTAAGCATATACCACACAGAAATGGATGCTAATAAATCTAATGTAAGAAGTAAATGTATTGGGAGCCCGAGGAGAGCAGATCACGAGATCAAAAGACTGAGACCATCCTGGTCAACATGGTAAAATCCTGTCATTACTGAAAATACAAAAATTAGCTGGGCCTGGTAGCCCGTGCCTGTAGTCCCAGCTACTTGGGAGGCTGAGGCAGGAGAATCACTTGAACCCAGGAGGGGGAGGGTGCAGTGAGCAAAGATCGCACCACTGCACTCCAGCCTGGCGACAGAGCAAGACTCCATCTCAAAAAATAAATAAATAAATAAAAAAGTAAATGTAAAAATCTTTATCATGATAATAATAGAAAAATATAAAAATCTACAAGTTATAAATGACAACTTGTCACAGAAGCAAATAGAATCAATAGGCAACAAAAGGAAAGATCTAATTTAATAAGTGAAAGTTATTTAAAAATTCAGAGTGAATTATTTATCATATAACAGGTATCTGTTACTGAATAAAGGGAGAGAGGTGAAGAGAATGAAAGAAGATGGGAAAAAATGGTCACAGTAGCTGTGTGACCTTTGCTTCAGTTTTTCCATCTAAGGATGGGAACAGTACTTCTCTCATCCACTATAACGTGTATTCAAGAAGTTTCCATGTGATTGATACATGGTTAACTTCTATATACATGTGAGTATTGTTGTTACTTGCTTAATTTAAAACAATTACAAAACACAGAGTATTTAAGATGCTATAGCATGGCTCACTTAAAAATTAAAAGTCTGCGTGTTTGTTTATGTGTATGTTATAAGGTGAGTTATTGTGAAATTAATTAGTGACAGGGTAACTTCTGTTTTCTTGCCCTTGTGTTCTTGTTGACTAAAGAATGAAACAATAAAACAGTAATTTCCCAGTTCCTTTTTAGGAAAATATCAGTCACATCTTTGAGTTCTGTATTCGGGGTATTTGTGTCTCAGATCCATCTAGGAGGATCAAGCAGAGTTGTCGTGGTGGGGAAGAGATAAGTAAGTACCACCCCCAGGGCAAGTGCTGGCTTCCCTGTGACTAGAAAGACTGAGGTGAAGCAGGCTCTGTGAATAGTGGAGCAGGCATTTCACTTTCAGGCAAGACCTGGAGATGGCAAAGCCCCCGAAGGTGAGCATCTGGCTGACCAGACACCCAGCAGTCAAATACTAGCAGAGCAGTCCTGGGATCACAGTGAAGATCTCCACAGCAAGTAGGCACAGAGAGTGACTTCTGCCTGAGGGGGCCCTCCACCTCGTTATGGACAGGACAAACTCAAAAAAATGACCCGCACAGGCTTTCAAACCATTATATAACCCTATTATTTTCTAGAGTATAGGAAAAAATAATTTTTAAAGAACCATTTAAAGTACATGTACATTGCTTAATAATTATTGACTACTAAAACAATTTAATTTGCCAGTATGTACGTAGGCCCAGCACTCACCAAATCATGCCTAGATTTGTGAGGAAAATATCTTTGTAACATGTCCAGATACAGAGTCCTTCTTCCAAAGAGACCTCCAGGGTACTGATCCAAAATAGCCTGGTAAATCCAGTGGTCTTCTTCACTTAGTTGGCAGTTTCTGGAAGCAAAAAAATGTCACAACATATTACTGAGCAATCACGAAATTTGAGGGACTCAAACTGTTCAAGCTATTAGCAAGTGATAGTGACGAAGCAAAACGAGGTTTCTGTGTACTTTAAAGACGTTAGCCAAATTTAATGTCTGTTTCAGAAAAGTTTCTAAATTCTAATGCAATGAGTTCCTTCAATTCTTTATTTGGTCTTGCCATGAGTATGAGCCATAATTCGATTAAGTTTGATGAGACATAGTATTTCAAAAATAATTATTCTATCTTGCCTGTAACGATATTTTAGAAATCATGACCAATGAATGAAATAAACACTGGGGAATAAATTCTTATGTATACAGATTAAAAAGGAATTTTATTTATTCAACAAGGTTCCCATGTCTAAACTGGAGAAAAGTACAAATGTAGACAGTTAAATGAGCAATTATGTAAAGGAAAAGACAGACTGAGGAAGATATCAGTCAGAAATGATCACAGATATCATTTCATTATGATTTCTCATTATTTAAGGTTTGACTTCAAAAGAAAGTCTAAAAGTATCTATTACTTTACCTCTTAGTGCTTCATAGAGGCAATACTAAATATTGATAGTGAAAAGATAACCAATGGCATTACAACCACTGAAGAAATCATTTGCAAATAGGATCCCTTCAAGTCACCTTCCCAATAACATATCTACTATGCTCCAAAAGGCCTTTTTCCTTTCAGAACACTCCTAGGCACCATCCTGGTTTGCATTCTTTATAGAGTATTAGCAAAGTCTTGTGCAGAGTGAAAAGTTTGCAATATCAGCTTGAACGCTAAACTGAATTAATATATTTTTATATTCTCAGTTTATTTTGCATATCATTATTCCTGTTTAATGAATTAGAATAATCACATAAAAATGCAATCAGAGGGAATATTATTAGCAACAAATACTTCTTAATCCAAGAGGAGACTTGTCATTGTTTATTTCTATTATATCAGTGATCTTATACTTTAAAGTTAACTGTGCAATTCAAAGAATTTCTTATATATCTTCCATGCCCCTGAAAAATATTTGACAATTTAAAACAGAATAAAACACCTCTTAAATCAGTGATACTGATGGGAATTCCAATGTTCTCATACAAGATTATTATTCTGATAAATAGCAAGAAAGAAAAACTCTTTTTCAAAGAAAAAAGTCCTATCTGTTTCATAATAGGGGGAAAAAAAGAGGGTTGGAGATTCTACCAGGAAGAGGAATACTCTACAGTTCTTCAGTATGACATAACAATTTATTGCAGAGAGAATTGGAAATGAATTCGTTGAACACACCAAGTGTTTCAGTCCTGTCTGAATCAGTTATGCATGTACAGACAAAGGCTTCTGCAAATAAAGCAGTACAAATAGGAGTATTAAGCCAGAAGAAAGATTTGCCTGAGTAAACTTGGCATTTAAAACATCCTCAGGATTTCATGGACAATATCTCAGGTCCTCTTTCAAGGAGCCCATCTTCATTCAGGTTAACATAAATGCATTTTAATAGCAGAGTTAGCCACATAACTTCTGCATTACCATACCACAAGCAACAAACAAAAAATAGAACTAAAGTCCATGTCTTCATTAATGTTTGTAAAATGTTTTTTTAAATCAAAAGGACTTGAAAAGAGTTTGAATTTCCACCTTTACTTGATTATAAATGTGGATGCATGGGTGTGTGTGCCCTGGGAAGGGGGAAGCAATAGAAGCTAGGTCCAACCAGTTCTCTGTTCCTTTAAATTGTGATTCATCTCTATAATGGATGCTGTTGGTACCGCACCCAGATTGCCTTTATTAGATGGCATTCTTATCACCGAGATGCTGTGAGTCTTGGCAGATAACTCACAGATACCTCTTCCTTCTCTGGAGAATTGCCCTGGACCAAGTGGGAGCTGCCTCTCCCACCCTCTTTAGAGAAGGCTACCCTCCCACCCTCTTTCAAAGGCCAGCCATAACCAATGACTGACCTACCTGGAGGTACAGAAAGCCAGCCTACTTGACTCCAGAGAGGATCAACTCTATGATACCTTTGCACTCCAGTGTTTCCCCATGGGAGCAAACCATGGCCAGTCTCCACTGACACCTTCTTGCTTACACATTTCCCTTCTTCTATTTGGCTTCCTTCACAGCCCTCCCCCTGAGAGCACCTCCCAACAAATCTCTTGTTTAGAAATCCCTGTCTCAGCTTTGTTTCAATAGAACCTACCTTAATATAATCTATAAGCAATCTTACCCATAATTTTCAAAAATAGTTTAAATCTTTTGGTAAATGGAGAAGTACTCCTAAATTATTTTCTTTCATGATATCTCATACTGAGTGGCAGTGGAAGATTGTGGCTGTGCTCAAGGAGAAAGTGAAAATGGCAGACATTTACAAAAATGCTTTCCAAATAGAAGCATACATTAAGCAGTGTACATTGCTATAAATAAATATAGCAGCGGGAGAATTTGTGGCACTCAGTGCATTTTTATACATTGCCTCAATGTATTAATTAGCTGCCATTTTAGTGACAATATTAAACCACTTAAACATATGAAATGATCATAAAACATTAAAGTCAGATATTTCAAAGCAAGCATGCCATGAACTGTCACCATATCCATTTTGACCTTCTTGTTGATTTTAGAAGTCTCACATCCCAACAGTTTTTCCCAGTTACCAAAATTACTCAAATTGCAAGTCACTTTTTAGTACATGTAGAATAAAATTTTTTAAAAACATGCTTAAAGGAAATGATACATACTCACAATATTATTATTTTTAGGTTATGTATTTATAGCAGTTTCCAGAGTTGCAGCCTTAAACATTGGAGCAAATATTCACATAGGCAGGAATAATGAAACAGCTCTGCATCTCCATTAGAATGCTGCATGTGAGGAAAGGAGAACTCTCCCTCAGCTACATACATACCCTACATATATACCGAGCCTTTGGATGGTAAAAATCTAAGAATAATATTTAAACATAGTAGCCTCATCACAATAACAAAGTAGTCACTTCTGAGGAACATGGACTTTGAACTTCTAAAATAAAATCAGATTCAATATACTTGCATTTCCAAGTGTAAATCTGGACACTTATCTTTTTAAATCAAACCTTCATCTTTTTTATATAGAAAAATCTATATAAAGTAGCTGAAACTAAGGTTAGGTTTTACCTTTCAAAGTTCTTGTTGAATTCAACTGCTTTGCTGGTGATTCTAATGACAGAACTAGCTAAATTGCACAGATATTGAAAAATATTCTGATCCCTTATCTACTTTCTGAATTTGAAAAATGACTCTATAATGTTAAAAGAACATTAAGAACATTTTAAAGAAAACTTTCAAATTGTCCTAAGCTTTTTGCAATTTACCAAAAAAAAAAAAAAAAATCTTTAGACAAAAATCTTTAGCAGTTCTCTGCAATTTCTATTCCTTTTTCTCCGTCTAAACTTTCTAATTTAAAGTTCTTTAGAATATTCATCTTTATCACAGCCTGCTAAGACTTTACAATTTGTAAGGTTATTGAGTACTTTGAACACTTCAGGGAATTTCAGCCTACAAAAAGGTGAGGTATTTACCACTCAATTCTTATTCACCATCTCCTGCCCTACAATATGGTATCTGATCACAGATATCATTTCATTATGATTTCTCAGGAAGTGAGACAAAGCAGATAATTCAGAAAACAACAACAGAGCTGTAAAAATTCACCCTGACCCAGGCCATTGTCTTCCTAATTCTGCCTGTTTGAATTATCCTAAAGTGACTCACAATTAACTTAGCTACTAGTGTTCTTCATAGCCACATTTAAATCACTTTCCTTGGGTTCTGGTTCCGTGACATTCAAATACACTTAGGGATGGAGGGCAGGCAATGGTGGTAAACAAGACATGTACAGGTAACAGGTACTTTAACAACAGAAACAAGTTTATGAAACTAAACATTGTGGTTACAAACTGGCTGAAAGCTGTCTTATGTTTTCTCAGAGTAAAGGAGCTTTCCAGGCAAAATGGTAATTAGTGCCTCCTGAAGCTAGCTGATGCAATAGTGAACTTGACCTGAAGAAAAACTCATCTCTTAAAGCATTACAGTGTTAGGGGACACTTACTGCTCCTTTGGAGAAGTAGGGGTGCAGTGAGCCACCATTCAATGAATGTGGATGACAGACCATCCTCTTCTCTGGCTGCATCAGATCTGACCCTCTGTAATACACAATCTGACTTCACCTTTCAGTTTTTTCTTTCCAATACAGAACCATCCAAACACCCAATCTAATCAGCCTGGTTTCTTCATCCACCAACAACCCCAGCCCAGGCCCATTGTCCAAATAAAAATCTATGTCTTATTTTCAGTCTGGTTTACAGGAGGCTCCCTGCTCCCAGACCCATTTCTGACCAACAGAATCTGCTCCTCAAATCTTCCCTGGGTATGCATCTTCTATTCCTCAGAGATCTATTCCCACCTCCATAGTCCCTGGCTCTACCAGTCTGGCTACTTAGCTGGAAGGTGACGACCAGAATAAAGTGGACTTTCACGAGCAAGGTCAAAATCCATTGAAACGAAGGAAAAAAAAGTGATGCTATAGGGTAAGGCCAAAACTTGTGCCAAATTCCAAAGCCTCATTCTTCTGAAGGATGATGAAAAGATAGCAGGATTCTAAAAGTAATGGCTTTGGGAATCTGGTCAGAACAGGAGGCTAAGTGATTTATTTGGAAGTTGCATTTTCCAAATGGTAAGTACATTGTTTTTACTTAGATTATTTTTTAGAGAAGTTTACATAGAAAGCTCACTTTTTTCACTTAGAATGTATATTTTTTGGAAGTAGAATAGTGGGGATGATGGCAAGCCTCTTAAACCACTCTTTGTCTCTGAAACATCCATCCACCAGTAGTTTTCTGGTGGAAGTTTTGAAATAACATGACGGAGATAAAATAGCCTTTTACTTTTTTTTTTTTTCTTTTTTTTTTGGAGACAGGGTCTCGCTCTGTCACCCAGGCTGGT